AGTACCACAAAGATTAGCTAAACAATCTAGAATACCCTATAGTCTGTATGTGCTTCATATGTACCTATATGAGACATTCCAAAAACCAGGGGGAAATAGGAAATAGCATACAGACAATAAAGAGAAAGTGGACGAACCCATTTGGCAATGTGTTCATGTGTACATGTGTGTACAAGGCACTAAAGCAGTCGGGGCTTACTATGTTCCAGGGATACTTCTAGTATATTTATTTTCTTATTCTCTAAGTTTAAATTTAGATGTATTGTGTTTTCCCAAAGTAAGTTATTCTGCAGCTTGCTTAGAGATTAAATTTGAAAAAAAAAAACAACAAGGCTTTTGGATAATTTAAACCAAGGATTTGTGGAAGGGTCTCTCTAGACATAAACCCTATATCTTAAAAAAAATTGGAATCTGCTAACTAACTAAGTCCTTCTTAATTATCACTCACTACACAGAGTAACATTTCTTGATTGCTGAATATATGTTTTCCCTTTTCCCAGGGACAGACCCTTTGCAATGGTGAGCACAGCTTTTGAGTTCTGTGAGCTAATGCTGACATTTTACTTTGCCATGCCAGTTTTCAGCAAAACACAACATACTGCTCCAAGCACTCACTTTCCTGAACGTCAGTTCTCCCTAATTTCATAAACTGTTTTGCAGGAAACACCGTTTGCTATCATGCCCTTTTTGCTGTCTGTCTTCTGAGTGTGGCACACTGGGTGTGCACTGAGCTTGAGGCAGACACCTGCAGATGTGGCATCCCGCAAGGCTTAGCCGACAACAGCTGCACACTCACCACTGAACACTAGCAGAGGCCCACTCCCCACAGTACTCGCTCCAGCCTGAACTTCTACAGGTTTGCTCCATGATAGTATATCCCTTTTAATAATGGCCCCCATCGCGATTAGTTCCCTAGCAATTTACTGACTCTCTACTCCCTATTTGACTGCTGCGGAAGGTCCTCCTGCAGCATTTGACCATCTGAGAAATCATGAAATTATTTTGAAGCTACAAAGTCTCAAATACTGGCATACTTTAAACTTTTTGAAGTGATAAATGAGCCAAGCAGTCTTTAACACAAAAGTCAGTTTTTCTCCCCTGTAAGGTGATGGTGTTTCCACTTATCTTAAAATCATTCATAGGCTTTAGAAGTCAAAGGGAACAGGGGAGAAATCACCTACTTAACCAGAGAGGCAAGATTCTCAAAGAGGAGAGAAGGAGCCAGATAGGAATCATGCACTCTTGGGAACAGAATCCATTATTTTGGTGGGGCACTGGCCTCAGGACCCTTGGCAAACCTTGGAGCCCACAGATGATCAAGTCCTTCTATAAAACGATGCAAGTGACCTTGGCACAGTGCCACATGCTGTATTCATCCTTGGATGACTCTAACACCTAGGGTAGTGCAGATGCTAAGACAGCTGTTGCTGCATTGCATTGCTTAGAGAATAACAGTAAGAAAAACATGTCCATGTGCTTTTAGTAAAGATGCCATCTTTTACTCAAGAACTTTAGAATGTGGTTGATGGGATCTATGAATGTGAACCCATGAAACAGACAATGATTCTCCATTCTTTTTCCCAATTCTAAAAAATTATATTTTATTATTTGCTTATTTTTTTATGTGTGTTGGGGAACACATGGCCATAGAAGTCAGTGGGTAACTTGTAGAAGTTAGTTCTTCTTTTCTACCATATGGGCCCTATGGGATTGAACCCAAGTCCTCAAGTTCGGTGGCAAGTACCTTTTACCCACTGAGCCATCTCAACCATCCCAGAAGTTCATCTTTCAATCAAGGATACATGGGCTTTTTACATAAGCACTTGTTGCAATGCAAGGTTTCTATATCCAGAAGAATAAATGATGTTCAGGGAATCCTATGAGCTGTCACAGAAAAATTATTTTACCATCCAATGGCTGTTAAGTTTGGACCAGAGATCTGTACACTTTAAACTTAATCAGAGTCTCTTTTGTGTTTGTTCTCTTTGTTCTTAGAAGAGGCAAATAGAGGAAATTCTACCACCAATAACACGACTCATATTCCTAGATCTCAACAAATCCCAGAGGGGAGGCAGGCTGAGGGAAGCTGAGGACTGGCGCTTTCCTCTGTGTTCCTACGCCAAGCGGACATAGCAAGCTAGTGACACAATGATCTTTGCATGTAGGGGTAAAGGGGCCATGTGGTTAAACAGGGATGCTCGCTGCGTGCCCATCTGATGGTCTAGCCTATCTCCTGCTTAGCAAGCTCGGTGCGGGCAGCCCGAGCACCTGGGAAGGAGCACAGCCTTGCTAGCCGTGGTTCCATCTGCTTGAGTTTCCTCTCCTATTTCTCTTCGAGGGGGGCACTGATGGCTTGCACTTGTAAAGGCTGCGTATCAAAATGCCAAGGCCCATCATTACTGAGTGGAAGAGAAGATTGCAAGGCGACAGCCTCAGGAAGTGGGTAATGAGCTGGGCATAGCCCAGGCTTAGCTGGAGAGCAATTGCAGCCTCGGAACACTGTTATTTGAGCTCCTCTCTGCAATTTCTTCCTTTCAGATAATCTTTGCTCAAACTCCAACCCCAGTGCTTATTCTGATGCTGGTTTCATGCCACAACTGACCCACTCCTAGATAACTCGGACCTCTCTCCCGTCATTTTCAGCTTCACTTACAGGCAGAGGTCAGCCCGTAGGTCACACCAATAGAGTTACAGGGAAAGGCCTATTCCTTCTCGTTTAATCAGACTCTTTATTTACCACTATTACAGGTCCATAACCGAAATGGCTTGCTAAAACTCTTAAAGTACAGTGGTTTCCAGGTAACCTGTGTTTGGAGAATATAGGTTACCCCATACTTGTGACAATTTGGCAGGAACGAATGGTAAGAAATCCTCACCATGGAAAAGCGAGGAGGACAGCTGCACCCCTGTATGTGTTCTGCAGCCTCCAGAGGACCTTGTGTCCCTGAGTGGGAGGATGGGGGCTTAACATGAGGATCGTGCATGGCTATCTTAAATGGTGTTGAAAAGAACTGTCACTGGAAAAATAGGGTTACAGTAATTTCTCAAAGAACTGAGACTCAGCTCAGCGTGTCCAAAAGCAGTTCCGTGTCGAGAGGTCAAGTCTGAATTTGAGATTCTGGTCTCTTTGTGGGAGTGAGGGGGTGATGAATTCCGGGTTTTTATTTCCCTTCAATATTTCATGGAGAGGAAAATATTCCAGAGAAACCACCTAGAATTTCAGGAAAAAAAATCTTTTTTTTTCACCCTAACATCCTATTTAGATCCAGCAAATTGAAAAATGCAGACACTTAACTCACTTCTGCTGCCAGAAGACCGAGCGAAAAGTTGTAAAGTGAAAATTTCAGAGAGTAAGAGGGGTTCTTTGCCAACCCCAAAATGTCCAGCACCTTAAGAAATAGAGTGTGTTGAAACTGACTTCACATTTAGTCTTGTCAAAAAGGAACCCAAAGGTTCATGGGAACTTGGATAGCATCCAATGGAAAGACTTAGGTGGGTGGCCACCCAAAGCTATGACGCCAGATCTGGAGGCAGTGTTTCCCTTCCTTTTACAGTGCAAGGATTTACATGCTAAAGGCGCGCTGTATTAGAACGCCATCAACCTTGGCTCTTGTCTCCTTACCAAGAAGGTGGCTAGGAATGGAGAGGAACCATTTGGCTATTGGGAATGAACAAGCCCATTCTCCCAGCAAGGCCCATGCTTCCCCATCTCACGCGTCTTCCCCGCCCACCTGCTAGTGCTGCGCTCTTAGGTTCAATACGGTAGAAGAGTTTTGCATCATCTCCTGGGGAGCAATGCCAGGCTCCTTTTGGAAAATACTGATGCCATTACTCCTGTTCTATTTTCTTAATATCGTCATACAGGGAGAACCTCAGAGAACAGACCCTCAAATCCCCCCTTAAAAAAAAAATCCTTGGATTAGATGTGTGTGGAACTCATAATTTTTTTTTTTCTCAGAAATGGTGTTAATTGCAGGTATAATACAGAACCTCTGGTGAGGGCTGAGCCAGAGAGCCATTATCTGCATGAACACTGATGCAATGAAGATAGGCGTCTTCACAATGTGTGGGATATGGACGGACAAAAATAGCAGGGGATCCGCTTCTCAAATAAATCTGGGTGTTAAATTTACAAGAGAACTTTCAGATTTTCTGGACACTTTAGGTTTTGTGATGGAGGCGGGGATTTTAGATCTGTACAAGGCTTTCTGAGGCTCTGTCAAAGGGACCCACTTGCTTTGAGACAAGAGGAGGTGTCACATGCAAAGAGCTTATGGAGCCTTTCCAAATGTCTTTTGAACAGTTTGACTAGATGGGCCAGGAGCAAAGCTGAGGGAAATGTGTTGTCCTTGTCTGTAGGGTCCTGCCACACGTGACTTTGACATATCCTGTTCTATTGCGTCCATCTGTGGCAGCATTGCTGTCCTGGACTCTGAGCTGCCTTGCTGAGCTATAGAGAAGGGGACCAGAAAGGGAGACATTAGTAACCTGTCTGAGGCTCACAGAAATATTCCGGGAGAAAAAGAAAGACCGATAGGATGTGAGACCGTTGCAGCCAAATAGCTAACGCTGGGACAACATAATGAAGGAGCCACACGGCTTGCTTTATAAGGCACATGTAAACCCCACACTTCTCCCTGAACGAGTGCTGCTTACTGGTCCTTCTGTTTCTCTGTTAGTCTGAGACAGGGTCTCATGATATATCCTTTGTTATAGATCTTGTGCTGACCTAGAACTTGGGATGTAGCCCCAGCTAGTCTCACACTTGCGATCCTCCTACCTCAACCTCCCAAATGCTGGGATTACAGGTGTGAGCCACTATTCCCATCAATAAAAAAAAAAAAAAAATGCCTGAAAGCCCAAACCACTGCAAATTTAAATACTGGCGTGGGAAGTTATCTCCTGGACTATTGTGCTAAGGACTACGTATATAGGGGAAGGGAGAGTGTTCTTAGAGGTGGGGGCTTGTCACCAGTGAAGACAGAGAGATCAAGGCTTACTTGGCTTCCAGGGCTAGGGCAATGATGCCAGCAGCCATGGGGGCTGAGGCTGACGTCCCGGTATGATTGTCCGTGCACCGCTGTCTTAGATCAGTAGTGATCTGAAAAACAAGAGTGAAGAAGCTTAGGCCCTGACGACAGTCTACTCACAACGTGGATAGAGAGGGATTAAAGATTAATTTTAAATTCAATGTTTCCAGACACCCATTATCATTCATCTTCAAATAATTGCCTGGATAAACCAAATGACTGGAAACTGACTCCATTCAAAGCAGAATGGCTTTTAAGGGCGAACCACGGCTCAGAACCTCAAGGTCATGCACGGATCTCCTAAAAGTCCACTGTGTATGCACCTTATGTACCCCACCTCAGTCTCACTCTGGGTTAAGATGGAAATTATTAAATTGACCCACCTTTTAAACTAATTAAATATGCTAAGTGAACACCCAGACTGAAAACCTGGTGTGGGTAGGTGAAGGGATAAACTGTAGAGCTCTCACATTCTCCAAGCTATAAATCTGAGGGAGCATCATGCCTCAAGAAGAGGTTTCTGCACACAAGTGACCTTGGCTCATGGACTTTTTGTAGAATTCATAAGCCTGCTGCCCGGAGGAGTGAAGGCTTCCTCAAAGGTTTCACACAGGCAGGAGAAGCAAGGGTTGAGCTTCTGTACCTCACACGCAGCTACGGCAGTGTGGGCTTGCACGTTATATAGAGGAGATTAGCTGCTTTTCCATTTTTTCCCTTGCAATCCAAATGTGAAAACCAGATCATTTTATTTTCTTGGCTTGAATCCAGCTCACTTTAGCTCTGACTGAATTGTATTACCATTCAGCAGAGGCAATGGTTCCCAGCCTGTGTTTCATTATTGTCTCACTAAGAAAGAAAATGAAATTTAAATTCTCCTTAACAAGAAAAATTAAGTACTATAGAATATGACTCTAGGAGCCATTGTAATACCCCTCAGATTAAAACAAAAAATATTCCCTCCTGGACAGGCATGCATTGTGTTCCCTCGGGACTGATTTTTGTGTTTTATGGGAGATGAATCAGTAGACACGCTGCAGTCACTGGGTGACACCGGTAACCTTTCTTTGGCACGAAGACAAGGGTTCAGCACTCATCACAGAGAAGCGAGCTGATGTGAAAGCCGGCCCAAAAGCCCATGAGCGGAGGCAGCAGCTGAGAGCACAGCCTTTGTTTTCGAAGAGGACAGAAAAGAGCTGAAGTCGGGTGAGGCAGCAGGTGGACACCCCGGCCCCATGTCAGCCTCACCACTGTCTTCTCCGACTACAGGGGCCTGAATGGACTTTCCCATCATGTGGCAGAACTGGAGCAGGACCTCAGACCACTCCGTTTCCCACAACAGAGCATGCATATCATCTCCTCTGACATGTGTCATGCCACCAAATGACCTGCATCACGTAAGTACGAACACGGACACGAAAGAAGTGGGAGAAGAAATACGTGCAGCCACAGAGACATGGGTCTGCAGGCGATAGATCCGCACTCCCCTATATGTAAAAGAGCTTCCTAAGTTCTTAACTGACTTTGAAAAGGTGTGGCATAAGTTTTGTGCGTATAGCATTATGAAGTACACACCGCTGCCTTGGTTCTCTAGGATCTTTCTCATCTGCAGGAAGGAAAGTCAGAATTGACAACTGCTCTGACTCTCACCTCCCGTCACCTCCTGCTGTGATGTGTTTGATTAAGTACCTCACCTAAATGAAACCACTTAGGATCTGTCTCTCACTGATTGGATTAATTCACCTACGTGATGTCCTGAAGCTTCATGGATACGGCAGCACATGGCAGAATCCTTTTCAAAAAACCTGACCACTACTCCACTGTGCAGAACTTTCAAGTCACTCATCTGTTGATGGACACCAGGCTTGTTTCCATGTCTGGCTGCTGAACAGTGCTCCAAATGTACACAAAATGCAGAACACTTTTCGAAATCTGATTTCAAGTGCCCTTGAATATAATACCAGGAATGGGGTGGCTGAATTGTTAAAAGAGGCATTTCTGGGGGTGGGGAGATGGCTCAGTGGATAAAACATTTACTGTGTAAGCCTGGCGATCTGAGTTTGATCTCTTAACATTACATAAAGGTGGGTGAAGAGGACTGTGCCCACACTCACACAGCATATGCCCACAGTAATTCGTATTTTTTTTTTTGAGACAGGATTTTTCTGTTGCTTTGGAGCCTGTCCTGGAACTTACTCTATAGACCAGACTGGCCTCGAACTCACAGAGGTCCACCTGTCTCTGCCTCCTGAGTACTGGGATTAGAGGCGTGCGCCACCACTGCCCAGCAATACGTAATATTTTTTAAAGGCACTTCTATCCTACTTTAAATCGGGGGGAGGGGAATCTCTACAGTCATTTTCTGAGGTACAGGTCTCTGAGTCCAAGCATGAACGCATCAGAAATAACCCTTTTCTAGGTCTCCAAAGTCCTTATTTTTGAGAGATGGTCTCAAAAGACAACTTTTTTTTTTTCTGAATTTTACCTCATCTCATGGTCACATTCCTTTATGCAAGTGCTAAGTTTTTCAATGAATTTTGGCTGGATCCAAGTCTTTTCATGGTATCTATCTACTTATTCTTCACTTGTACCAGACACTTGCAATACACATACATAGGCCCAGAACACACATTCGGAGAGTGTGTTCGATATCTCACAAATAGCCAGCTCTGGCCAGGCAAGAACAAGAAATAGCTTTTGATGTAGGATCCATAGCATAAATCTGACACATTCTTTTATGGTTATCTGGCACACACACACATAACATGGACTGACATAGAAAGCTACTTAGAATCGTCACAGAGAGACATCAGGGGTGTGTCAAATACTATTACTTCTGACGACTTTGTGTGGAATTCAAGTCAGCATTGTGTCCTAACTCTTTTCAATCATTTGACCTAAATGAAAGGAGTCGGAGGGGAGTGGAGCAGGAAGGTGATGGAAAACTGGAGGTTAAAAGATTCAGGCAAAAGAAGAAACAAAAACACCCTTCTTGCTTCTCTGCTCTAAGTGAAATTCCAGCTGGGTTACTTCAGTAGGAAGTTACTGTCAATGGGAGAGATGTCCAGGTGTAAACTACCAGGAGCATCTAAGGTAAGCTTCTCACCATTAAAAGAAACCAGAAGACCAGGGAATATTTATGTCTATCCGCAGAAGGAAAAAGCAAAGACCACTATGGGATGTGCAACCTAGGAGAAAAACGATGGTTTAAAACCAGGACGAACCGAGGTAAGCACACTCATCACAAGGCACAGGGAACAGAACACAGGACCCGCCAGTGCACCTGGAGGGAAAGTGGCATCCAGCGTGCAGCCCCCAACAGAGGGCGGTCCTGCTCCTGCTTCAGACTCCCTCGAGAACGTCTCAGAATTTGGTCTCGATCCCGGCGGCAGGCTCGCCTGTTCCAAATTCCCTCAATTCACCACCCAAATCAGAAACAGAATCGGTATCCAAAGAACTGAAGTTGCTCAAGAAAATATCATTTGCGTCCATCACCGAGAAGGAAACTGGAGAGGACACAGACCCTGAGCAGATCAAAGCTGTCCTGATGGGCAAATTAGATTTCCAGCCTCATAGGATCAGTAGCAGATGGGGTTTTGGACTCCGCAAAGCTAGGGATGTCATCTTTTCTTGGTGAGCCAGGCAGGGTCTTGTTCAGTTCCAGCCAGGATCCTTGAGAAGAACCACCACTTTCCTCACTAGGCTTTTATTTCCTAATACTTCACAGTTCATTACTAGAGCTGATTGGGGTTTTGACTGTTGCCTGTTGATACCGCTCTCCAGGGAATCTCAGTGCAGATTGACTTGGGCCCTAAGTGACAAGCGTTTACAGCAACCCACAGTAAGTGTCCTCTCTTCCTGATGCCCTGTGATCCTTTTTAGTTTTGAAGGTGTCAGTTTGCCTCATACCTGTTAAAGAGGATCCAAAAAGATATTTTTAAAACATGAAATGATTTTGCTATCTGTTAGGATGCATTTGCTCCTAGTGCTGATGGATTTGGGTTGGAAATGTGTTCGCTGAACTGTTTTAGAGCCAGCAATCATGGTGAAGGGCAGAGACAATGAACTGGTTTTAGCTCGTTATTAAGCACGTGACCTAAAAAGAAATAAGGACCACTAAATGACATCTGTCCATAGATGTCACCACGACGGGTGCAGAATTCAGCGAGTAGGATGAATTCAGTATAAAACACTGACCGCTCATGTTTTGCTAAGAGAACTTAGAAATGCGGGGTGCAAGGAATGAACCTGCTTCTCTAATCAGGGGTCCTTTCCCGTGTCACTTCTATTCCCCCATACAGCGCAGCTGAGTTCCACAATGCAACAGAAGCAAAAATTTCTTTGCTAAGTAGAGCAGCTTGACTCAAGCTCCCCTGGATTCATTTTATTTTACACTCTTAATTTTTCTGTTTCTTTAGAAACACTTTAAGGTCACTTCTCATCTGACTATTCAATCAGGACTCCGAAACACTTAGAATCATCCCACGAAAGTTAGGTGTGTACTGATACTGTAAATTAGTCAAGGGTTAGCCAGGTGGTGGTGGTGCACACCTTTAATCCCAGCACTTGGGAGGCAGAAACAGGCAATCTCTATGAGTTCGAGGCCACCCAGGTCTACAAAGTGAATTCCAGAACAGCCAGAGTTGTTACACAGAGAAACACTGTCTCAAAAGCAAAGCAAAGCAAAGCAAAACGAAACGAAAACCAGCCAACCAAATTAAAGGGTAGCCATTAACCTCAAGGTTTCTCTCCTCAAACTACTATTAGCAACTGAGGGTGAGGTGCCTGGGTGTAGAACATTCCACACAGCCACAGGATGTTTGCAAGGAAAGCATTACGTCATTAACAGCGGAGGGAAAGGAGGTTCAGCAAGGCTAATTATCTTGTTCCAGGACACACAGCAGCAAAGCCGTTAGTAAGCGGGGACGGTATGAAATCCTGAACCAGCAACGTAAAAAAAGTTTTTAGAGTGTGCTGCCACCCATGAGGACAAGAGCAACATAGTCAGCCCTCCAGTCACCTCAGGGACAGCAGAACAGCCTTGGTCCTCCAGCCTGCCAGCAAGCGGGTACAG